TTGAAAAAACTATAATTGCGTTTTTCTCGAAACTTAAAATTTAGACTTATACCACTTTTCTCCAACACCCGCCATACGTCTTTGTCTAATAAAGTTCAGAAACTGTTTTCTTGTGGCTTGTCGAAAGTTAAATATTATGTTAATATGTAGTCCAGTCGCCAGAGATTTGATCTCTACAAATTCAAAAATTCTCCAAAAAAGATTCCAAAAAGTTTACCACTTTTACCCCAAGTTTTTCCCTAAAACCCCCCTCGTAGGCGATGAAAACAGAAACAACATTTTAATTAAAAAATGAAGCTGAAATCTTTAAAAAAAGGTTCATTAGCACTTTTTGTGTAGAATGAATCGTTCTTTCAGAAACAACGCTTGAGGCGATCGGTAATTTTCAATGTCTGGTACGCACGCGAAATTAATATTAATTAAAATTTGTATCAACTCGACAGTAAAAATTCGATATCTTTTGATAAGACTGTCTCATCGACAAAAATCAAAATTCTTTTTAAAGATGAAAAATGCAGCTTTCTTACAAAATTTTTGTACATTGCCATAAATAAAGCCAATTTCTATAAAGGTGTTAAATAAATAAACTTTTAACGTTTTTTGCCATTTTTTACGATTCTCATGAGATCAATCATATTTTTCACTTTCATTGACCAATCACTACAAAAGTTTCATTATTAGAGCCCAATCTTCAAAACATATAGCCTGAAATTTTGGTTTTGAGTTTTGGCAACAAATGTAAGGTATTTGAAATATGTATGCCCAAAAAACACAGAATTTAAACATTCATATCACAAACGATCGCACGTCATGGGAGATAATTCTACGAAAAGAGTATTAGGTGGAATTTGTAGCTGAAGATGTGTAGTTTCGAAATTTTTGTAATCAAAAAGAAGCAGTTTTTAACGTTTATAATCGTGTGTCATGTAAAAATTTAATTTTAACCTTTTTAGGGTTATTTCGAATGCCTTATATATGTTGCTAAAATTTAGAACCGAACATTTAGGCTATATGTTTTGAAGATTGGCTTCTAGTAAGGAAAATTCCATAGTAACCGGACAATGAAAGTGATAAATATTATTCTTCTCATGAGAATCATAAAAAATAGTAAAGATTTAAACGCTTATGTATTCCCGCTTTGGATAGCAATGATGTTTCGGCTGGAGTTAAAACCTTATCTGAAAGGTGGACCACTGTCCTTTTTGTGTTTTTGGTAAATCGGAAGGAAGGCTATTTAGGACATAAAGTGTATCCAAAAACCTACACACACCGACAGATACCGAAACAGGAACTCAAATCATCATCCAGGCCAAAAACAAGGTATTATCAAAACTCTGGAGGAGAGGGCGAAGAGACTTTGTGAACCACAGCATCTTCAAAGTGAACTTCTTTATATTGAAAAAGCGCTCAGCTCTAATCGTTATACCAGAAAAGAGATACATAAAGCAATTAACAACGTTTCTAGAAGAAAAGACGAAGAAACAGCATGTATAGGCATAGGCAAAGCGTTCTTGCCCTATATATCGGAGGTAACAGACAGAATTGGGCGAATACTTAAAAAGCACAAGGATAAACGAACATAAAACTCTCATTCACACTTATAAAACCTTCATTCGACCCGTTATTGAGTATAAGGCACACTTATACTACCTTCTTAAGGGTTATCAAAGGAAAAAACTGATCACAGCGAAGCGCAAAATTTTGCGTAGAACGCGCAGAAAACTATGGTACTTCCCTTCCGGTGAAATCCACCAAACGGCCAATACCACCTCTATCGTCGAGAGAATAAAAACTCTCAACAGGAAGTTTACCCTCAGGACTTTCAACGGACCCCCTTCAAACACCCAAAATACACTAAAAAGTTCCTGTTCTGTCAGAGGTCATGTATCCTCCCGGAAACCCAAAAACAAACATCCACATATCCCCTCAATTCTGATGCAAACATGTATCGACGAACTTCCGGCAGAATATGCAGACATTCTTGAGGACACTCCATTAGCCTATCACCGCACCTAGCTCTTGCCACATCCTATTCCCGACCACGGACAGGGGGAGATTTACTTTTTGCAGTTTCCCAATATCACTACTCAACGATACCTGTCCTTCCCTAAGAAAATAGCCGCAACTATTTTCTCACCTGAATCGGCAGTTGCTGGAAATGTCTATCGAACTTTGACGAGGCCTGGTCGTTAGCGGGAGCAGTCGATAACAGAATTTTAGTACAATACACTAGTTCTGTGTTGATTTCAAACACATAAACGGCTGCAGGAACAATGGTTACTAGAGAACACGGTTTTAGTTGCTGCCGAGTCAGACTCGCACACATTCACACTAAATACAAATTCACACAACACTCTCACACCAATCCAACAGTGAAACGGTGTAACCTCGGAAATCTTTTTTGGGTGGTGCTAGAAAGATAACCAATGGAGACACTGCGGACGGCAGCCAGATGGTTGGTGGAGAGCGAGTCGTGGGTTCGAAACTAGCTTTTGGAACCGGGAATGGGTCCAACGGAAGAAATAGGTAAAGATAGGATAAGAGATATTAGAAAAGATACAGAAATAAACCAAAAGATAGATGGGTAAAATTACCAAAGATAAGAGAAGATAAAAACAGGGCGCCACTCAATTTTTTGGGGTTAAGGAGAAAATTAAGAAAACCTTAGAAAAGAAAAGAGATAAGAAAAGATATTTAGGTTCAGAGATCAAACCCAAGGAAAGATACCAACAGTAAATTATCAAATAAATCTGTTCAACGCAATATATAAACAAATAATAAATATCTTAAGTATTACACTTACTTACCTACGAAACTTAATCAGCCTGATCTTTCTACAGTTCAAAAGCATAGTAATATTTAAAGATAGTAATTGTTCAGAGCTATTATTTTATCAGGGAACTTGTTAGGAGCCGACAAATAAAATACATGCATATAACAATAACAATATATTAAACACAAAATTATGATGCTGCTAGATGCAACCCAGGTATTAAAAATACACAACTATGAAATGGTGTTATATATGTATAAAATTAAGCTATAATGTAATAAAAAAATACCTTTACCAAGATATATAAGGCAATCATATACAAATATAGTTTGGCGTATCTCGAGATATCATAGGAAAGATAATGAACAAAAATTATAGGAAATACAAAAGATAGCAAAAATTACTTAACTCTAAATTTACAAAAAAAAAAACAAAAAGGTTACAGGAATGAAAACATAAACAAAACCGCACTTGATTAAGTCAATTAACTATCTCGCACTATTATTTAATAAAAAACTGAGACTTGTATGTTCATAGGTAATATTTATAGAAATTTTCTTGAATGGTTCAATTACATTCAAATATCGGCAACCTACAGGTGAAGATATAGATGATACGTCCAGATAATGGCAGGTGATATGGTACCATACCATATTACTCGCCCAGATAATTGTAGATAAAGATTACTTACAGTAGATCTTAACGAAGGCAGCTTAGTTCACTGAATTTAATACTTTTCTGGTACTAAACACTGAATTTAATAACCATTAAAGGTAGTGTAGAACTATATATAATTAAATATAGTCTAAGAAAAGAAAACTCAAATATGAAGTGTACACACGCTTAGAAAATAATTCACAGCGACGATAAGATAAGAATTATCGTGAGCAAACCGCATCACGAGATATCACTTCACTCAACAAGAGCCCACCGAGAAGTAAGTTGGTTCCCTAAAAATTTTACCAACTATCCAAGAAAAAAGAAGAAGAAGGTATATCCCCCACTTAAAATCATCGGACAGTCGTATGTATTTCTCAGAAGGTAAGGCCTTAACGACTATTGGAAAGTTTGAGGTAAAATAATCGGTATTAACAATTGGACCTGAGAATATTAAAATCCTTAGGATTATAGTATTGTCAAAAGATACGGGCCTTCGGCGAAAATTACCAATTTATGAAAAATAAACTGCATACTGGAAAGCATTTGTTCTTTTCATTCAGAGTATTAAGACGGAAGGATTAAAAACCTTTCTTAATTAGGGAATTCCATTTCAGCTTGGTGTCTACAATAATATTTTCCTATCGTAAACACGGGGATTCCTAATCATCGGCGTATCGCACGGGGGTAAAAGGAATTAAAAATAATTTGATATATTAATAATAAAAAAATGTTACAACGGTCCTCTTTCTGCTACCGATGCATCCTTATCACCGAGACCCCCGACCGTCTGCAGCCTTCGTTACTTTACACGGGGTCTGTTGTCGGCCGGGGAAAATCTAAGTGATTTGAGGGAACCAGTAATAACGAAATGGTAGCGTCCATTTCGTTATTACGAAACGAGGCGTCTCCACTCACGAGCACACTCGTTCACGAAATTGCCGTGCAATACACTGGTTTCGGGGACGAGTTAAGCTCGAGACTGCACAGGACCAATGGTCACTAGAGACCCGGCCTTGTCGCATCTAACTCTAAAACACACATAATCAATCTGAAAAGCACATCTACTCCAGATAAGCCTTTCTCTCTGATTCTCTGGTTCTCTGACTGATTCGACTCTAAAACAACTTCTCCAGACGAAGAACAGGTGAAGAACAGAAGAAGATGCTAACACCTCGGTGATTTGAGTAAATAATGTGATTCTTAGTGGCGTCGTCAAATCTTACAGCTTGAATTGTTTGGTAAAATCTTTTTTTGGACATAGTGACTGTAAAAATATCTGGAGCTGTGCCATCTAATTTCCATAGTTCGTCAGTATTTAAATGTTGCGCTCTCTTTATCTCAGCAAGGAACAAAAGTTCGATAAATGTTAATAAATTGTCTTGTAGTCAACAGCAGAACAATTCCTAGGGCGAATATAAAACACTCTCATCATATTCAGTTTTTGATTTGCATATTTTACAATATTATTGATCCGATAAAAATAATTTCCAGCACTCTAATATGGTTTTGGCTCCTTTTGCTTTTACCCCAGGTAAGTTTGTAACAATATTACAAGCTTTGGTCTTACCTTTGGAGTGTGTTTCTTATGTTTCAACCATGGTGTTTTATCCTTGCCATAAAATTTTGGATAACCATCATCTTGACCGCTTTCTTCCATGGCATCTTCAGGATCACTGGATAGATCTTGTGAGGACTGCTCAGAATCTGTATTGTGGATACTGTGTTCAGAACCGACATCACTTAAGTCCTTATCAGAATCTAGTGGTTCCACATCGCTGTCTACTTCTTCATACCATCTTAGTAACTGGTTTTCCATTTTTTTGTCCATATTTAGCTGCAATAACCAAAATATCTTAAGTGATCTCTCTAAAAATCAACACACGCCAACACTCGCGTAGTTAGATTCTTTCTAACGCTACGATGAACGCGATCGCTCGCGTGTTATGTTTGAACTAACATACATACTGTGTGTATAACAACAAGTGCTGTTGGCTATAAGATAATAGATACCCCCACCATTATTTAACATAGTCTTATACGAGTTTTCATAGGAGTATTCCTGGTTGTAGAATCAAAAGAAGCAATATTTCGAAAGTTATGGCAAAATATTTAAAAATGTTAGATTGTTTTCTAACGGCGCGAGTGATGAAGGTTTAATAAATGGTGTTGGACAATAAAAGGGTTAAGTTGTCAGTATATTGAAAGTAGTTTATTTTAAATCATATCATTAATGTTATATAATAAGTTATTACCAATGTAAAAGACTATAATAGAATAATCTGCTTTCTACGTGAAACCGGAAACAATAAAAAAATTATATTCATAATTTACATCGTATTATTCCCATGTATGATCGAACCAGAAACCTTTTTAATGAAATATTACAACATTGTAAGGTTTAAACTACTTTTTCGTTTTTTTCTCAAATAATGGCTGTGTTACTTTGTAAGTTTATAGCTGTTTTTCAATACTTGAAACGACTGAATGGAGACACATCAATTAAAAAAGTCATTTGCATCTACGTGACTAATTTGATATTATAAAATTTGGTGTGAGTAATAAAAATAGGAACAGATGTTTTTGCGATCTTGAGGGTTGTTTGGAGTGTAGTTCCTTGAGATTATAATTTTAAAGAATTGAAGTAAGAATCTTAACCCTTTACCGCATGAATTTTTGTTTTTTGTCAAAAATAAATTCTCAGATAAGAACTTTAATTCTATTTTTACGTAAAAAATTAAAGAAAATCTAAATACAAGGAAAATTTTATTGACAAAACAAATTTTTTTGGTGCTAAATATGGAACATCATACAAAATTGTAATATTAAAGTCAAACTATTTTGAAGCTACAGTATACACTATACAGTCTGAAACTGCAAATAATAGTGCATTTTGTGCACACTATATATGTTTTCCCTGTACAGCCTGGAAATTTGCATCTTGACCTAGTGCCCTCATCCCAATAGCGAAATTGATCATGCCCATCCTTACGGAGATCATCTTGCGGTATTTCTTTAGTGGATCCCTTTTTTCGTTTGTTCTCGTACATCTGCTGAATGCTACTACTTGACGGTCTTCCTACTCTGTTCTGTTTAATTGGTTTTCCGGCTTTGCATAGCGCATCCGCTATTGCTAGTTTGGTATCCCAAAGGGGTAAATCAAAGTTCTTCGCTCTTTTAGCTAATAACCAACAGTTTGGTTGGACACTACACTGACATCCACATTTTCTATATTGGCTATTTTCTCTACCATATGACCTCTTAGAACACGATTAAGTCTTACTGTTCTCAAAGGTAAAATGCCTTTTTTTGTCAGATATATCATAAGAGTGATTGGTGAACCAATTTTCAAAAAACAACTTGTAATGTTGATGTTTTGTTATCTAATCTGCTAATTTGACAACCACGTTGCTGCTCATACTAAGATTTCGTACTCCTAGAAGTACAATATTACTCTGGGAACCAGCAAACAAATTAAAGTCATAGCTGAATGCCGAAATATTACTCAGCACAAAGTTTTCGAAGCCCCTTTTATGTGGTTTTTTTGAGATATACTGCTTTAGCTGGCTTCGCGCTTTTGTTGGTATAATCTGTTCGTGTACAGCTAGAAATTCTTCTTTTGGAACCATGAGTACTCGTTCTTTGATTTGGCTCAGAACATGTCTAATTTTGAATGATCTGTCATGTCCAGGCAGATCATTTTCAATCATGTTATCATTGTTATTGAAATGCAAAAGAAGTTTTATTTCTTCGAATCTGTTGCAGCTCCTCATATCGCTAACTGTTCGGTGGCCAATATTGGCATTCCAATAGTGTCTTGTTAATGGAATTTGAATTATAGACATGTAAATAGTAATTCCTATAAAGTGTTCTATTTCATATTTTTTTGTATTAGCTGGTTTATCTGGACGTTGTTGCACTGAGTATAAATTTGTTTGGTCAAATATTGTATTACTTTCTGATCTTCTCAGATTTCCTTTGACCCAATTATGAGATTTCTTCCTTTTATATCGTAGTCTTTCAGACAAACGGGTATCATCATCTGAGGAACCTGAGGATGTGGCAGAAATGAAAGTTTCCTTGACATTGCTTGGTAAATTTTCACGTTCCGCTTTGTCACTATCTTGACAGAATATCATCTTATTTGTACCGTCTTCATCATTCATTGTACCATAAAAGAGTTTCGGATCCATATCTACAAAAACAATGAAAAATAACCTCTAACTTCGAGCACTGTTTCACGTGGTTCAGAATTTCAACAATAATGAACTTAAAACTGCGCACGGCTGCCTATCTCGCCGTCAGAAATATGCCGCATAGTTCTGTGCCGCATAGTGTGCCGCAAATATTGAGTTAAAGCAGGAAAAAGAGTTTTTTTTTGGTTTGTGCTATTTATCATGTGCCATAGGTAAAGGGTTAAAGAAACTAGAATATCTGGATGTTCACAAAAAAAAACGACTGTATTTCTGTCTATAGTGTATTTTTATGTATGAGAGCATAATAAAACAATAAATTATGTATGCAAATCCCTAAACTGTTGATACGGGTGACTCAATGAAAAACAGATATTTGTCAACAAGTTTACAGAAGTATATAGGAAAACAATTTTAAATTGAGTATGACCACCAGGTATAAAGGTTGGAGCAGAATAGAATACAATACTTGTGAGGGTTACTAATCCCTAAATAAGGTGGCCAGTGTCGAGTGATGGAGGTTAACAGGCACTAATGAATTTGCAAGAAATGTAAGATGTTTATTTTATTGGTTATATATAACCAATAAAAGTTTAATAAGTACCTACCTATTTGCAAAATAAAGTTTAATTCTTTAGATAAAATAAAACGTTTTATTTTATCTGAAATGAGTGCATTCCACGAAGTAAGGGTTTCAACAATCAAACATTTAATTCTTTAATTCCAGGAATATACGACAGTAATTGACTAGATAATTACCTTCTAAATTTATTCCACAGAAAATGTGATAGTGGGTTTTTCCATTTTGTAGGAAGGTCCAAGTGGCGTATTCAAAATTCTTAACAGTTTACTAAAAGTAGGTACTTCAGTTGCAAGGTGCAGTTTATTGTGTATACTAGTGTTATGGAAAATTTGGAAGTGCCGTGTAAACGCCGAAAAATTGGTCCTTTAACAGTTAATGAAGAAACATTAATATTTAATTGTTTTAAATCATTTACAGACAAACGTTTATGTGAAAGTGTTGATGAGACCGTTGAGTTAGTTAGCAGTACACTTGGTGTTGGGAAATCTACGATTTACAGAGTTATTAAAGAAGAGAAATGTGGTAGTTTTCAAATGCCACGTAATGCTCCAGGGAAACCAAAATTTCAAATAGAATATCATTTTAAAGAAGGACTTCGACGGAAAGTGCATGAATTCTTCTTTAGACAAGAATTTCCAACATTGGATAAAGTTCTTGTCTCAGTTCGAGATGATAAGGATTACCCAGAAATGAGTCGAAGTACGTTATGGAAACTTTTAAAAGAAATAGGCTTCCGCTGGAAAAAGAATCCCAGAAAGTCTATTTTATTAGAAAGAAGCGATATTGTCATATGGAGAAGACATTTTCTAAGAACCATAAAGGAAATGAGAAACCAAAAAAGAAAAATATTTTATCTTGATGAAACATGGATCAACGAGGGTCATACACCAAATAAATTTTGGCAGGATGAAACTGTTACAAGTCAAAGGCACGCTTTTGTAAATAACTTATCTACTGGTTTAAACCCACCATCAGGAAAGGGACGCAGGCCTATAATAGTACACATTGGCAGTTCAGACGGTTTTGTTGAAGGTTGTTTATTAACTTTTGAATCAACTCGTACCGGTGACTACCATGAAGACATGAACGCTGATGTCTTTCAAGAATGGTTCGAACAAATGATAGATCTTCTTCCTAAGAACTGTGTAATAGTAATGGATAATGCAAATTATTACTCCAGACTTATAGAAGGACTGCCCACAACCAAGTGGTTAAAAAAAGACTTGCAGAATTGGCTGAGTTTAAAAAATATTACGTACCATCCCGGATCTATAAGAAAGGAACTTTATTCGTTGTGTGCCCTTCATAAAGACAAATTTAAAAAATACGAAATTGATGAAATTGCCAAAAATCGTGGAATGACAGTACTTAGATCCCCACCATATCATTGTGAATTAAACCCGATTGAACTGGTATGGGCACAGATAAAGAGTGAAGTTTCAAGAAAAAATACAACTTTTAAAATTCATGATGTTAAAACAGTTGTTTTTGGAGGCCGTAAATAATGTAAAACCTGAAAACTGGGAAAAGGCAGTAAATCACACTATTAAAGAAGAGGAAAAAATGTGGAAGCTGGACAATATTACTGATAAAATGATCGAGCCAGTTATTATAAATCTTGGTTCTGAAAGTTCATCTTCTGAATCTGATTTGGATTTTTATTCATCTATTTAACATACCTTAGACGGTTTAAAAACTCATTTTCTCTTTTGTAATTTTTAAAAATTAAAAAAAATGTGAATTTTTTAAAACCCTTTTTAATGTAGGCCAGTCAGTTCTAATATAGTGTGTGATAAAAGAGGTCACTTTTGTTTACATACACATAACACTTTATAACACTGAAATAATTCATTTATTTTTTACAATTATTCAAAGTAATTTTTCAATTAATCTTGAGCACGCCCATGGAGTGGTCGAAGGTATCAGTTAAAATTATGACAATTACTCTCTCGTTCATAAAGATAAACTATAGAATCTTGGATTTATATATTCTGTTCTATTAACCGCTTGCTGTTGTTCCATC